TCTTACACAACGCCACATATGTTGGTCTTTGTGATATTTACATTCAGTCTTGCTCTTAGTACACTTTACTGAGATTGGAAGAACACCATGCGATCGAAAAAATGCTATAGTTTCTACGTTTTTTTTCCCAAAAACTCGCAATCAGCTCCATATACTGTAAGTGACATCCATCGCAGACTTCCATGGTCGGAGCTGAACTTGAATTTCACAATATGAGACCCAAAATAAAACTCGATTTTGATTGGGCCAAATATACTCTGAATTAAACCCAAAATCATTTTAATTGGTTCCAAAAGCAAAAACGTTTTTGATTGGCAACATGACGTGTACGGGTACGCATGCGCGTAATAGTTTATGAAGGAGACTCGAGAGACACGCAGTGTTGGGTGAGAGGCAGACGATAATGGCGGGAGGTTAATGGAAGAAAATAGAATTTTTGGGGGAAAAGCTATCTCCTTTATTATACATTTCCGCCGGTAATGTAATAGATGAAAATTATCTTATAATTAGACGTCTTATTCGAATATGATAATAGATAAGTGGTAGGAATGAATGGTGTGTAAACGCAATAATACCAGATTCGGGCAAGGTCGACCACGGAATTGTATGCTGATATTTCCGTAAGGAGATAGAGGAAAAAAAAATTCTAAAGGTGGAGAGCACGGTTAGCGGTAGAAATAACTTGGACCAAAGGCAAAGATTCGTTTTAGATTGAACATGGGATTTCATATTTCTATTATTTTGCAGTATGTATACAGTGGTCCCTCGGTTAACGAGATTTCGGTTAACGATTTACCTTCCATAAGATTCTTAACTTCGGTTAACGAGCAATCCCTCGATTAACGAGTTTTTTACGAGCCGACTTCAACATGTTTTCGCTTGCATTTGGTGGTCCACCAGCTGTAGTATTAGTCCGCCAATACAGTAATCGGTTTTAGGGCTTAAATTCCTTACTATTTTAGTAAATATCAAGAAGTTTATACTATTCAATAATTTTAAAAGTTGAATATTAACTTTTTCAGTCATTTTAACAATTATTGAACATAATTGAAGGTAAAGAAACTAGTTTCTGGCGTGCCATCCAGCCTGTTAACACACCAGACAGGCGTTAGTCTCTCTCTGTTTTCAGTGGAGGTAACATCTTGCTTGAGACTCTCTTCAACTAAACGCTTTTTTTCTGTGTTTCCAAGCAAATTATTGGTCATTTTGAAATATATTTTACATATTGACAATATATAATGCAGTGCATTGTTGATTTAAAGAAAATAATCTTGAATTACACCAAGAGAGCTAAAATTTTATGGGTGAAATGGCGCCATGGGGTGACTTCTCTTCCACCCCAATGCCTTCTCTTCTTCCTTCTCCTCCACCCCCATTCTAATTCCCATCATCATCATCATCCAGGAGCCTTCTACATACACACCTCAGCATTGTCTCGCATGGTGCGAACAATGCTCTCGCTTAAACCAAGCACGGGGCCAACATCTAATTTCACATCTATTGTATTGCTTTTCATGCCTTTTTAGCTTTAGGTTCCCTAGAGGAGGCAGGTGGATGTTTTCCAGACATGCTCGATTGGGAAAACAGTGTTTAACACTAAAGAGATACGTAATGAACACACAAAGCAAATGAACGCACAGAGCAAAAAGTAGTGCAGATGTGAACTGAGAAAGCGATACACGGGAAGCTTGCTGGACGCCGTCACAGTTGTTGTACAATACAGTACTTCATTATCATCATCATCATTAGTAGTAATAATCTTTATTATTACATAATTACAGTATAATAATTATTATTATAAAATTAAAACCGTTGATGTTGATATGAATGTTACTATAGTAACACGTACAAGCACCTCACCAGGCATCACACTCAACTCCGCTACCAGGTGAATACACAGCAAATTTCAGATCATTTGAGCGCATTATTTCAAAAATAGGTGCGCGTAAATTAGGTTTTGGTATTAATTGAACAATCGCGTCATTCCAAAAACACTTAAATCAAACAGGCGTAAAATGCGAGGTGACTGTATACTGTACTGTTATTGTATAAAATTTATCATTCATAAAATGGAACAAACTAACTTCATCTAGGTTAAGATATGATAGAGTACTGTATACTGTACATGCACAGAACTCTATATTGATTTTTATACAGGATTGATAGAGCCAGAGAAAAATCTTTAGTGTTTTCATTGGGAATGCAGGTAGTTCTGCTATAACGCGATAATTGTGTTCTTGTAAAATATCGTGTTATAGAAAATCGCGTAATAGAAATAACAGGGCTTATGGAGAAAATAGGGTTAGGTGCAGATTACTCGAAATCGAAAAAATTTAGTAGTTAGCCTAACACAAAGGATAGCACAGTCTAAATAAATGTTACATTCATATCTAATAATGAAATCATACAGTAAATGTAACACTTTACCTTGAAAAAATATGAATGTAACTTGATGGGGGGAGAAGGGTGATTTTGAGGTTGATAACATCAAGCTTCTCTTCAAGTGTTATATCCTTTCTTTTACGATAATCACCGGGAATTCTATCATCAGAACGCTTTTTGGAGATATTCTTCTTTACCATATTGACAGTTAATACCACAAAATTGGAGAAATAGTAAGCAAAAATCGCGTTATAGCAAACAAGCGTTCGCGTTATACAAATATTGTTCCGAATTCATAAATCGCGTTAGAGCAAATTCGCGTTATCAAAACACGCGTTATAGCAGAACTCACTGTACAGTAAAAATTTTGACTTTTCGAATTTACTTAATAAATTACAATATGGAGGGATTTAAGCTTACTCTAACAAGTTCAAGGGTTATATTGTTGACACTATACTCATGTGATTATATACCGCAAATTAGCATAAGTCATGCTGCCACATGATACGCAAGCCCAAGCTTCGAGTTTGAAATTGTCAGTCGCAAAATATCTTCCATGTGTGAAAGGTATTTCCAGTCATAATGACAAACCATTTCATGTTTTTTTTGTAAATAACACCATTACAATTGACATTTTCAACTCCCATTATATTCTGCATACTTCCTTTAACTGTCCAAAGTGTGATGTAAACTGCCATTATTGGGACAATAAATATGGTTGGTATTGCACTAAAAGACAAAATTGCCAAGACTAAGAGAGGTACCAGGTAGGTTAGGTTAGGTCAAGTCAGTTGTTTGCATGTTCTTACCCCACAATTTCCCCCTACTTCAAAGCCCTGCCCTGTGAAATCAAAATTGGAGTCAGATTCAATTGAAGGACATAAGAAAAAAATATTTTTGTTATTACTTTCCGTGCATGTGCTCTGCTGAATCTTTACCCTGATCTAACCTAAATAATTACTGTAATAATATTCAGGTGAAGCTCAAGTTTAGGTAGCCTAGGTTAGATTAGGAAGGTTAGTTTTGTTCATTTTATGAATGTTAGGTTATGTAATGTAGCAGTATCTTACAATTTGGAAAGCTCCCACTAGTGAATGGGTTAATGGAGATAGAGTAGTTTATTAACCTCTTGGGTATGAAGGGTCTCTTTGTGTTGAATAAAATTGTCTGGTGTTAGCCAAATAAAATATTGAGTGGCATCCATTAGTGAAGGGGTTAATGTACATACCAGAGGAAGAATAAGAACAAAATATTTTTGTGGTTTAAGTACTGTATAGTAAATTATTTGGGACCCAGAATGTAACCCCTTCTTTCCCACAGGCACCATTGATTTGTAGTTTTGTGATAATTTAAATCCATGGGGGTCTGTCAGAACCAAACCATGCAGATTAGGAATCATTCACTTCATGTAAAACAGTCTCTTTTTGTTGATCATAGCCCATCATTCTTCACAGCCAATAAAATTATCTGCTGAAGTGGTTGAACGTTTCCCGTATTATGGAGTTTATGCATATGGAGAAGGCAGCTACTCAGATTCATTGAAGAAAGGCCTTTACACGGGTATCCCAGTTCTCTTCATACCTGGCAACAGTGGCTCCCATAAGCAGGGTAAGTGCTGGATATTGTTTTTAGCTAGATTTTGTGATTTTTGTGTTCTTTATACAGTTTTTAATGATTGTTGGTTATTTATAGGATTAAGAATACTGTAATGTTTTCCACCTTTGTGATACGTCTAGGGTGCCTGCATATTTTAATGCAAAATTTCCAGGGCTGTGGAGTCGAAGACAAAACCTTCGACTCCGACTCCTCAAATTTTTATGCTTCCGACTCCGACTCCGACTCCTTGGCCTATTTGTAACAACTATTTCTACCATCCTAATTGTAATTTGTATGTTGTAACCTGCATAGGTAAAAAGTAAAACACCGTGGCTATACTGCTACAGCTTTATTAATGATCTGGACGATATTTAAGAACTACAAAAAGATGATAGGCTTGACTTTCAAAGTTTCAATCAAAAGAAAAATAAATTTATTAAGAATTCAAGATATTAACTAGAAAACACCATTTACATGTATATCTAAAAGTTCGATCTCAGCATATGAATTTTGTTTAAGCTCATAATCTGATGTGGATCTAAATGATGATCCCACAATTCCTTTTAAAGTAAAGTTATATATTTATGTACATTAAAGAAATGAATACCTTATTAAGGAAAATGGATAAACCTTACATGATTAAGTTATTAAATTAAATTTGCCTTAATCTCACCAAAAACAGGTTGTAGCTAACTGTTTTGTAGCTGAGAGCCTCTGTGCAGTTTTCAACGAAACAAAATTTGATATAATTCAAAATTTCAAATAGTAAAGAAGAGACTATCGTCCAAAATTATAGTGCTATACTGTGCCTGCTACAATAAATTCATAATAATGCTTATAAAATGGAAATAAATTCTTTTAATAATTTAAGAAAATTAGTGGGATCAGTGGAATCACTGCAATGAATATGCCTGAGTTCATATATTTGTTCTTAGGAACAGAATAGCTTCAGTCGGAGTCGGAGTCGGAGTCTGGACAATTTTACCGACTCCGACTCCACAAGCCGAAATTTACTCCGACTCCGACTCCGACTCCACAGCCCCGATAGGTACTCCTGAATGTGCTGCTTAAGGATCTGTTAACCAAAATTTGATATCTTGATTATAACTTGTTCAAATGGCTTTTAGAAAATGTTCAAATGATTTTTAGAATATTTTAATTACTTTTGCAATGCTAATTACTCGCCACTTATGGGTTTTCGAGGTCATTTCTTGGTGATTGTGTATTATTCTGGATGTATTTAAATAGTTAGGCACATTCAATTTTAGTTCAGAGAGAAAAAGAATTTTTGGCCATAAATCCTTTAAGGCAATAGACTTAGAATTTTTGTCATTTTCGGCCAAAAATGGATTTTGTTCAAAATTTCAGTATAGGTACTCCTGAATGTGCTGCTTAAGGATCTGTTAACCAAAATTTGATATCTTGATTATAACTTGTTCAAATGGCTTTTAGAAAATGTTCAAATGATTTTTAGAATATTTTAATTACTTTTGCAATGCTAATTACTCGCCACTTATGGGTTTTCGAGGT